CCGGCCGGGCAGGGGCGGGGACCGGCCGGGGGCGGGGCCGTGGCTGGGGAGGCGGGGCCTAAGCTCTTGGAGGATGCCCCGCCCATCCCGGGCTCCTCCTATTCTGCGAGTTGGGGCGCGGCCTCGGGCCTCCCAGGACTCACTGTCCAGAAGCAGCGTGAGAGCTCAGTGCTCTGATCCTCCTGGTTGTTTTGTTCTTAGTGTTTATTGAAAGAACGAGAAGGGGAAGGCGAGAGAAAATTCCGAGAGCTGTTGTGGATAGTGCCACCCCCCCACCCGCACGCACACCTCAATCGTCCTGGGTGGGATCTCAGACTCCAGAGGCTGTGCGGGGCCCACCTGGAGGGGGTGGGTGCCATTGGACTTGAGCGGGTGGCTGAAGGGGATACAGCTCCTATCCCCCCAGCACCCAGCTCTGCCCTCTGGGGTGAGGCCTGTTCAGCAGAGATGGGGAGGGGGGAGGTCGGAGGGGTGGCACTTGCTGTCTGCACACGTGTTCTTGGGCAGTCTGTTCGCCTGGAACACGTCAGCTCTTCCTGAAAGCGCACTCCTCATTACGGGAGCCTGAGGATGGCCCAGTTAGGAGGGGTGGGGACCCTCTAGCACCCACAGAGAAGGACTGATCTGGCCACCTCTGGAGAGGCCCAGGTGAGGGGCTAGACCAGGGGTGGGCAAACTTTTTGACTCGAGGGCCACAACGGGTTCTTAAACTGGACCGGAGGGCCGGAACAAAAGCATGGATGGAGTGTTTGTGTGAACTAATATAAATTCAAAGTAAACATCATTACATAAAAGGGTACGGTCTTTTTTTTCTTTTTAGTTTTATTCATTTCAAACCGGCTGGACCCTGCTAAAGCGGGGGCTGCTGCCCATGTGTCAGCCCCTCATTCCTGGGGCTCCAGGCTGCCCAAGGGCCACCAAACTCAGGCTCTTCCTCACCAGGTGGGGGCATGTGGCTGAGGGCCTATTCCCCACCCGCCCCCTCAGTGATCAGAGAGGATGCAGCCCACATGGGATCACCTCCAATTTCACAGGAGACTCACGTGCCACATCTGTGTGTCTCCAGCGGAAGTAACTTCACTTATGTTGAATAAATTATTCCCTTTGAAGGGTAGCAAGATCAAGTTGCCTGCTATGGACACCGGCCAGTGCCATCCCTGGCAGCCCCAGCACCCTGAGCTGGAAGGTCCACGTAGCCCCAGAGCGAGGTGTTGTCCTGGAGCCAGGTGGGCACGGTGTTGCTCTGGCTGTAGTGGGACATTTCAGGTGGTTGTGGGCTGTGACCCTAAGGCCCTGACTTCCCGAGAGCACATTCCCTGGGCAGGGGGGCTGTCCCTGGTGGAACAGGAGCTGTCCCTGGGTAGGGGGATGCCCACAGAGCCTATCCCACCCTCGTGTCCGGCTGGGCCCACATTACAGGTGGTGGATGTGTGTTGAGTCGTTGGCATGGGGAAGGGGCAGAAACATCATGCCATGGGGCGGTGGGCACTGGGCCTCACAGAGGGCACGGAGCAGCCAGGCACGATCTTGGCAGGGCTGCACTTGGTGTTTGCAGCTGACACGCCCCCAGGCAGAGCCCCATCAGGACTGGCTGGGATTCTGCCCTGGCAGCTTCAGTACCAGTGTCCCCCCCAGCAGCTGCCCCAGCCTGGCTCGTGGGGCTCTAGCCTTTTCTCCAACTTTTCTTTTTCTTTCTTAAATATATTGATTTCAGAAAGGAAGGGAGAGGGAGAGGGAGATAGAAACATCAATGATGAGAAAGAATCATTGATTGGCTGCCTCCTGCATGCCCCACACTGAGGAATGAGCCCGCAACCAGGCATGTGCCCTGACCGGGAATGGAAAGGTGACCTCGTGGTTCAGAGGTCGACGCTCAACCGCGAAGCTCAACCGCGAAGCTACACCTGCCGGACTCTTCAGTTTTTCTTTTCTTTCTTTCTTTCTTTTTTTTAAAAAAAATATTTTATTGATTTCACAGAGAGGAATGGAGAGGGATAGAGAGTTAGAAACATCGATGAGAGAGAAACATCCACCAGCTGCCTCCTGCATGCCCCCTACTGGGATCGAACCCGCAACCAAGGTACATGCCCTTGACCGGAATCGAACCCAGGACCCTTTAGTCCACGGTCGATGCTCTATCCATTGAGCACAACTGGTTAGGGCTTCAGTTTTTCTAAAGTTGCACTCAGACTCATGGGGTCCTGCTCTGGTCGGTACCAGCCTGCCCAGGGGTGCATCAGGACAGTGTTGGGGCCCACAGACAAGGAACCCCTCATGTCCTTCCTGTCCTCTGACCTCAGGGTTGGCCCTGGCCTGTCCCCCTATCTGTCCTACACTCGGACACGGTGCCACAGGTGTCCGCATGGCACCTTGGTAGGGCCGTAGACATCCTTGAATCCTTGACAAGTCTTCCCCAGGAGAAAGACCAAAGACCAGTGCCGAGAGGGACACCCCAGTCATGGGAATCTCTCTGTTGCCCAGGGCTCCTTCTGTGCCCCCAGGGCTGTGACTAGCGAGGACACCCAGCCCAGTGCCCAGCGTCCCTGCTTGGCTGAAAGCTGACTCGTGCTGCCCGGCTCGCCAGGAAATGCCAGACCTGGGGCTGGGGGCAGCATCCCACTGTGGCCTTGAAAACAGAGAGGAAGTGAGTGTCCAGCTCCCCATAGCGAGGGCTCCTCAGGAGCCAGAAAGTGAGAGGCAGTGCTGAGTGCAGTTTCACTGGGGAAGATGAAAATGTTCTGGAGATGGGTGGTGGTGATGGCTGTACCACAACGTGAATGTACTTAATGCCACAGAACTGTACATTGGTAGGGGAGGGGGGAGGGACAGGCTGGGGCCAGACACAGACACAGTGTCCACCTCATGGGGCCCAGCCAGTCAGGGCCAGTGAGCTGGGGCGCAGTACCCATGCTGGGGAGAGGGTGACATACTGGGGGCCTAACTCCGAGGCTGAACCTGGGATCTGGAAGCAGAGAGCGGTAGGGCACCAGCAGAGGGAATGGAGGCTTGGCCGAGGGGGTGAACCTGGGGACAGAGCGCGTGGTGTGGCTGCAGCCCTGGAAGTGAGGGGTGTGGAGGAGGAGGGGCCATGGCGCCCTGGGAGCCCAGGGGGAACCAGTTCTGGGTCCTGTAGGCCAGTGGGGTCCCACTACCTACCCCCTGCAGCTCCTGTGGTTGTCCAGACACTGTCCAAAGAGGCTCGGAGAGCCGCGGGCTGAGGTCATGCATCCAGCCTTAATGAGGAGGGGTGACCACCAATCTCGGGAGGGAGTGGTCAAGCGAGATTCAAGGCCAGGATGGAGCAGGACAGACAGGCTGGTCGGTGGCTGACCATGCCCGTGGGGGTGGTGTTTCCCAGGTCCCCAGGGCCAGGGGAGGCAGAGAATTGCAACCCCAGCAGAAACAGAAAGCCCCATCCCATGGAGGCGGAGCCCTCTTGGCTCCGTTTTAAGAAAACACGGAAAGGCTCAGAGGGACTGGCTGCTCGGCTCCAGCAGGTGGCACTTCCTCTCCCTGGATTCCAGCAGCATCTGCAAGATCAGCATCTCCCAGGCCCTGCACGTGACCAGCGACCAGCGGTGGCACACAAGGCTCTGGTTACCAGAGGGCTCCACCAACTTCTTCCTCATGTGCCATCTTGGGTTTTTTTTCCAGTTGAGATGTCATATACCCATAACATTTACCCTTTTTATTTTTATTTTTTCTAAAATATATTTTATTGATTTTTTACAGAGAAGAAGAGAGAGGGATAGAGAGTTAGAAACATCGATGAGAGAGAAACATCGATCAGCTGCCTCCTGCACCCCTTCCGGTAGGGATGTGCCCGCAACCAAGGTACATGCCCATGACCAGAATCGAACCCGGGACCCTTGAGTCCGCAGGCCAACGCTCTATCCACTGAGCCAAACCGGTTCGGCCATTTACCCTTTTAAAGTGTACATTTCAGCGGCTCTTACAAGGCTCTAACTCCAGAATACTTTCCTCATCCTCATAAG